CATCTCTGGAGGGCTCGTAAGATGAGGAAAATCCCTCTCATCCATAAAAGCACAGGCCAGAAAAGCTAGGCACATTGATTACTTGCGTCCATCTAAGACACACAAGCAAGGAAATGACGAGGTTATATCCTTTTTGGATAGAGACCTAGAAGGAATCTAGCACCCCTATGATGACTCATTAGTGCTAACCATGACTGTCGCCAACTTTCAGGTACAAAGGATTCTTGTAGACAGTGGCAGCTCTACAGACATCTTGTTTGCAGAAGCCTATAACAAACTCAACCTAAGGAGAGAAAGACTGCAGCCTATCACGTCACCTCTTATCAAATTCTCTGAGGATAAGGTGTATCCATTGGGATCCATCACCTTGCCAGTCATCGCCGGTGTAGCTCCCCGAAGCTCCACGGTCATGGTGGACTTCTTGGTGATAGACTGCCCTTTAGCCTACAATGTCATTCTAGGGCAACTTGCTCTTAACACCCTAAGAGTTGTGCTCTCCACTTAGCATCTGATCCTCCATTTTCCAACACCAAATAGAATCAGAGAGGTCTGAAGAGAACATGTTGATGTAATAGAATGTCACGTCTCCTCTATGAAGACCAGAAAGCCACAAGAAGCACTGCAAGTGGAACTCCTTGACTTGAGAGATGATGTCACATTGGAAAGAGGAGAACCAATATAAGAGCTCACACTAGTGTTCCTAGATGAGGAGCATCCAGACAAAAGAGTGTACATTGGCTCCTCCCTTCTTTAAGATTTAGCCCGTCAGCTTATAGATTTTTTGAAATGTAGTATGAATATTTTCGCATGGTCACATGAAGACCTCGAGGGCATCGACCCTAAGGTCACTACCCACAACCTCAATGTCAACCCTCATTACAAGCCTGTTCGCTAAAAGCTAAGGAGTGTCTCCACTGAAAGGGCGCATGCGATGGATAAAGATGTGGGAAAACTAATGGAAAATGGAGCAATAAGAGAAGTGGCCTATCCTGTGTGACTATTAAATGTGGTGATGGTAACTAAAGCCAACGAAAAGTGTCGCCTCTGCGTCGACTTCACCGAACTCAACAAGGCGTGCCTTAAAGATAGCTACCCGTTGCCACGAATCGACCTCCTCATCGACGCCACTACAGGTAACAAATTGCTCACCTTCCTGGATGCATACTCAGGATATAACCAGATCAACATGCATCCCTTAGACCAAAAGAAGACGTCATTCATCACTCCGAATGGGACCTACTATTACAGGGTCATGCCCTTTGGACTAAAAAATACGGGAGCAACCTACGAATGGCTGGTGAACAAGATGTTCCAATCTCAGATCGAGAGAACAATGGAGGTATACGTAGACGATATGATGGTAAAAAGCCTCATAACAGCAAACCACATAGATCACCTTCAAGAAACCTTCAATATTCTCAAGTCATACCACATGAAGCTAAACCATGAGAAGTGCGCCTTTGGCATCGGATCAGGAAATTTCTTAGGCTACATGGTCAACCAGAGGGGAATTGAGGCGAATCCTAACAAGATCAAAGTCATCCTGGATATGAAATCACCCACCACAACCAAGGACCTCCAGCGCCTCAACGGAAGAATCGTAGCACTTAACAAATTTGTTTCTAAATCTGCAGATAAGTGTTTGCCCTTTTTCAAGATTCTCTTAAAAGCCTTTGAGTGGGGACCTGAGGCAAAAGAAGCTTTTTAAAAGCTCAAAGCTTATTTGGCTACGCCCCTGCTCCTTTCACATGTTACACCAGGTGAAACCTTATACTTGTATCTCTTTGCTTCCCCCATCAACAATAAACTCTATCCTCATCAGGAACAACGAAGGAGTACTAAAACATGTTTATTACGTGAACAGGACATACCGTGGAATGATAAGATATTCAGGGTTAGAAAAGCTAGCGCTCGCCCTGATCTCAACAGCAAGGCATCTCCGACATTACTTCCAAAGTTACACCATCGTCATTGTCACAGACCAGCCTCTATAGAGGATTTTGGGGAAGTCAGACGTCTCTAGAAGAATCCTTCAGCGGGCAATAGAGTTGGGCAAGTTCGATGTCCAATAACAATCAAAGGCAGCCATCAAAGCACAATCCCTAGTAGACTTTGTTGTCGAGCTCACACCAGCGGAGGAGGAGGGCAATAGACCCTCAAAATCTGAAGAAGACTCATCAGAAACTCACCCAGACACTCAGGCGCCAAGGCCTGGTGCCTAAGACAAAATGATGCCCTTGACGTCCACCACGGCCTCCAAGGCCTACTCTTTACTGCCTCCCTAGAAGCTCTACATTGATGGTTCTTCAACCAGAGAAGGAGGTGGAGTAGGCCTAATCCTGACCAGCCCAGACGGCACCCCCATCAAGTATGTTATGAAGCTCCACTTTACAGCCTCTAACAATGAGGCAGAATATGAAGTCCTCTTCTCTGGCTTAAGGTTGGCAATTGAAATGAAAGCTCAACACTTAAAGTGACTCTCAGTTGATAATCAACCAAGTGAAGAGCGAGTTCGAAACAAAAGGAACCAGAATGTAGGAGTACCTTGCTATGGTGCAAGCCTTGCTAACTAAGTTCCACTACTTCCAGATCTATCACATTCCGAGGGAAGATAACATCGTTGTAGATGAACTTGCTAGGCTTGCCTTGTCCTTGAAAGCTCCACTAGGATTAGCATTCATCGATCACCAGTTCGAGCCAAGTAGGCTAGAAGTGGAAGCCATTAGCGTCAACTGCACATCTGCCTAGATAAACTGGATGACTCCAATAAAGGAATACCTTCAGGAGGGTGCATTGCTAGATGACCCCTTGGAAGCCAAGAAGCTCAAGATGAGAGCCTCCAAGCTCACCATCTTGCAGGACATCCTGTTCAAAAAGGGTTACTCTACCATTATTACGTTGTCTCTCCCCAAAGGAAGCTAACTATGTCCTAAGAGAGATCCATAAAGGAGTTTGTGAAAATCACTCTAGAGGGTGCTCCCTTACCCACAAGGCAATCAGGCAGGGTTATTTCTAGCCTAACATGGTGAGGGATGCCCAGAAGTTCACCAAAAAATACAACAAGTGCCAACACTTTGCCATTGTGCCCAGACAGCCACCAAAAGAGCTGACAACTATCACAAATCCATGAGCCTTATCCAAATGGGGCATCAACATCTTAGGCCCTTTGCCTCTAATCAAGAGTAGTTGTCAACTATTTCACAAAGTGGGTGGAGGCCGAATCCTTAGCTAAGATATCAGACACAAAGGTCAAGGATTTCATCTGGAAAAACATAGTCTGCTACCTTGGAGTACCCCATGCCATAGTCAGCGACAATGCCAAGCAATTCAACAACAAGCTCCTGAACTCATTCTACATTGACTGGGAAGCCCTACCATCAGCTTCAAGCTTAGCAATCCTCCCCTAAGCAGTAAGAAGCTTCTTTTGCATAGCCTTATGACTTTGTTTCAACTAGCTAAAATGAATAGCCCTTGAAAAGAGACACACAATGGTAGTTGAAACCTGAAGAAGACAAAAGAATGTTAGTACCTAAGGAGGGACTAGAGAAAGGGAGAGAGAAACCCTTACCTAAGTCAAACCTTTCAGGACAGTGTCAATGACAGCCTTAGTGCCCCAAGTGCTAACCTCACTAATGTCCATTGAAAACACAAACCTCCCAACTCGCTTCTTAACGACTCGCACATCACCCAACATAGAGCTTGTCTGAGCAGGTACTCCTGTAGAAGTTCCTATAGGAGGAGTCGATGAATAGGGGGCAAGAGGTGTGGCCGATAGGGGAGTCTTTAGAGTGACTATCACCTCTGAAGGAGTCCTTGATTGAGGAGGCGCCACTAGAGGGGTCATCTGAAAGGGGCTCACCAAAGCATTGTTGACCCTCACTACCTTAAGAAGATGAGTACTCCTAGTGGAATAATGGGACTCCACCACTATGTTGTCTACTGTAGAAGGATAAAAGTGTTATCCTATGAAAGACTAAGCAAAGAAAGAGAATACAAGGGTATCAGCATACCCTTTCTCTTTAAAGAGGAACCGCTAGTTCTCAAAGAGGTGTAGCAACAGTAGCACTGCCTATAAGAGAGTCTTTAGCTCCACCTTATTTGAGCATGAGAGCTCCAAAGTCCTTCACGGGGTGAGCCCTCACATCCTGTAACTTCCATCCTTGATCCTTTGAAAGCACTGCAGAGCCTAGAGGGAATGTGATGAGTACACATTTGCACAAAGACAAAGGAAAGAGAATAAGAGTAGGCATACCAATCCTTTTGGGAGTATCCTATCTCACTAGTACCATAGCCCTGTCAACTTCTAAAGCCCATTCTCTGACAACAAAGAAGAAGCGAGCTTTTCAGCTATGACAATTTGAGCATAATCCAGCAATCAACTTTTCTCCCCTCAAAGTGAAGTAATACCAACCACGATTGGGAGTAAGAGTCTCACTCAAAGTATAGGTTGCACAAAAATCTTCAGGAGAAGCATCATCATAATGCACCTTCCTCTATAGTGCAAGGAATCCCAGCATAACTCTTCAACCATTTGGCCCAAGCGCGCTGGCGCAAGTGAAAAGCAAAGAAGAATGCGACAAACGGAATAAGGCTGGGAAACCTCAACTCAGCCTCAAGCACTTCCTCATAAAAAGTAATATCACCAGAGGAGTTATCATAGGCAAGCTCACCCATTTCAGCTCGGCGATATAGTACTGTTGGAAGAATATTACAAGTAGAAACAAGCCAGAGAATGTCAGCGTCAGCATTAGCATTAAGAGTACTAGAAATGGTACTTACTTTGGACCCATCGTCATCAAGAACTACCTTTCTTCGGTGTTTACTGGTGCGTAGATGAACAGATACATTGGCTAGGCCACTTCCAGGAGAACCTTGACAGACATGACTAGGTGAAGTTTCGCCTAAACGAGCCATGTCATCTGCCATTTGCATGGAGTTTTTACCGCCAAAACCACTAGCATTTCTTGACGAATCAACCATCATAGCTCTGTGCCCAAGCTCTAAGGCTCCATGCGCAGCACCCACTGTGCACGACTGTTCGCATCATGGCCCCAACGTCGGCGCCTAAAGGCTCCGCCGCCTGTGCCTATCACCCAGCGCTCCTCCACCGCAACAAACAAGGCCACCTGGTGTCCATGGCACCTCGCTACCTAGTTGGGTCACCACGCCAACGACGTCCACTTGGGTTGTCTGGCCTTCGGCACCCAGCCAGTCTATTTTGCCAGCGACTCCCACTTGGGTGATCTGGCCTTCGATGCCTAGCTAAGATACCTCGCCAACAGCGCCCACCCGGGTCGCCTGGCTTTCAACTTCTATCTAAGCTACCTCACCATCTTGGGTCTGCCCGCCATCTTGGATCCCTTCCTCTTCGATACCAACTAGCCCCCTACCTCAATGGAGGACGTCTGGGCTCTTGCATCGACATCGGTCACTCCACCTCGCATCCCTTCTCCTTCATTCAACATTTAAGCACTCATCTCAAGGACAAAGTCACAAGCCTCACTCAACTTGCTTGAGTTCTTGAGTATCTCGAAAAGAAATCCTCCCTTAAGATGAATCAAATGAGGAGAAAAGAAAAAACCCCCAATTTATAGCCCAGGGTTTTTCCAAATCCTATACGGAGATAAAAGTGGGGGAGTTTATATAACTAGAAATATCCTACAGGCAAAAGGATTTTATATATCATGAAGGAAAAGAGTCGTAAGTCAAAAAGAGTCTCCAGGAAATCCAAGTCCAAGAAGGGTTGATGTTGTTTTAACCATAACTTTTGATCCGTTTGGATTTATGGGGCCCATAATATATCAAATCGAAACTTACGACTAGCCCTATAAGACTTATTGCCTTTGGCTATGTTGAACACCGTTAAAAGTCCAAAAAAGGCATAGAAATATGTGTTTAGGCCTTCCAAATTTTTTTCAATTTGGGGTTTAGCAGAAATCCAGGCTTAACCAAATTTCCTCTTCTCCAAGTTTCATTAGACACAGGACATTGGGGGGTAAATTATGGGTCAGGCCCAACTCATGTTATAAGCCCAGTCTAAATAAAGAGCCCAATTTGAAGAGATCCAATGGGTCCAGCCCAAGGGAGGTCCACACCCAATCAATCTCATCAAGTTTCGAGAAGCCACATCACCAAGGGTGTAAAACCCAGTAAATTTAAACTTTTGTAAACAAGGGCAAAACGGTAATTTTGTCGCTATAGTATGGGTTGAGAACTTAAATTTTTTTAGATCTTGGATGATGAAACAGATCTCACCGTTGGGTTCGTCTCGCGAAATCTAGCTACCACGTCAAATTTTATTGAATTCTGAGATAGTCGAATTTTTTGCGTTTTGCAAGGCGGTCGAGTCTCGGGTGACCCAAAAATGAGATTTTTTAATAAACTTTCAAAATTTAAGAAATAATTAAAGGTAAATTAAAATAAAATTAATTTAAACTTGAATCGGGATGACATTTAATTTTTTTGGGATAAAAATGGACCCAAAAACAAAAGGGTCGTGTGGCACGTTATATGCTTAGTATTCTAAAGTATAAATAGGGGGAAAAATCAGATTTTTCCTCCATTCTTCAGTCGTTCACCCGATAGAGAAGAGAAGAGAGGGAAAGAGAGAAATTCTTTACTTCTCTCTACGATCTAGGAAGCTACGGAGCTCGAATCCACTCGGGACAAGAACCAAAGTTGTTCTCCTCGCCGAGGGCTACACGACCACACCAAAAATGATGAGTTTCACCAAAATTTAAAAAATAAGATTTTGTGAAGGGTTAGATTAGAGCTCGAGTTGAAGTCTTTGAGCTTTCCCAACGTGTTCCTCACGCTTCAAGAGGTAGAGTTCCTTCCTACTTGGGTTTATTTTACAACCTAGGGTGTTATATGAAATGGGTAGATGAATAGTTACTTATATCACTTGTCTACGGTTGTGAAATGGATGGAATTGGGTGATTGGTGAATTGGGTATGTGAATTTGACCCAAATTAAGCAAAATTCCTAGATTGGAATTGGTGGGTTGCAATTATTGCGTAATTCTATGAAAAATGGGTGTTATGAGGGCATGTTATATGTTTTATATTATGCTTTGTGAATGAGGTAAAAATTCTTATGTGATAATATGAATTGTTGCCTTGAAGGTGTTTGCCAAAATGTCTATGTGTGGATTAAGTAGTTATGACATGTTGATGTATAACATGCGTAGAAAATGTGTTGGAAAGAAATGTTAATATGTACTTATTGAGATATTGACATTGTGATGATTTATGAAATTTATTTGCATATGATATGAATCTCCATGGAACATGTAGATATATGGTTTAAAATTGCTCATATGACATTTATTACAAATGGGTATAATGTTGGAATAGCAATGATGCATTACATTGCATATGCACGTAGACATCGTATTTTATGGGTGTGGGTGCATGGTTGGCATCAAACACTACGTAGGTGGATGATGGGTGGGCTCGAAAAAGTTGGATTGAATATTCGACTGAGTCACATGGTTACATGAAAAAGACTTGGGTCGGGGTAGCAAGAAGGGTTAGACTATCTCTCGGGTGAGAGACCCGGTATTTGGATATGCACTTCCGTTGGTATGAGAGCCTATAAAGTGTGTCGGTGTACGCGGAACCGTTGGTGGAAGTCCATGAATTCCGTGTCGGTTGGGTGACCATTGGTGTAAATCTATAAATACTCACCCCAAGAAAGACTCGGAGATTTTAGTTAGCCATTGGGTGTGTAACACAAATGGCGGGGGCTTGGAGAGCCCGATTTTGATACTCACTGCATAGCATGGGATGAAAGTAGATAGCTGGAGCTAGAAAAGCTCGGTGCTAATACACGTTAGCATGGAAAGTGTTGTGGAGCCCGGAAGGGCTCGGGTAAATTGCATGAATGGACATCATCTCCTTCCATGGCGTGGCATGTTAGATTTCAATCTTAACTTGCCTAAATGTTGATTGGAATGGATTTTGGTTGTGTTTTGTTGCATAATACATTGCATATGTACTTAGGTTGGGGAGTAGCCCTTGTAGAAAATACTCTACTGGGCGTTGGCTCACCCTATACGAGAACACATTTCAGGTGCGGGGTTCGTACCGGTGGAGGACTCACATTCGAGGCCTCAAAGATGAAGAAAAGCCGGAATGTGGCTTTTGTTATGAAGTTTTGTAAAACTTTTGGTTTAATTCCATTTTGACATGTAAATCGTATGGAATGAGTTGTAATAGACTTGTATGAATCATGTATATCGTAGAAAATACCTTTATATATGTTTGGGATGAATTTGGAAGGGTTTTGATTGAATTGGAAATTGAAAACTGATGAAATATGAATTTCTGGACAAAACCTACCGGTTGCAAGCATTAACTACCGGTAGTCAACAGGTAGTACTTGTTCGGCAAGTAATAACTACTGGTAGCTAACAGGTAGTACCTGTACAGCCGACAACAACTACCGGTAGCTAACAGGTAGTACCTGTCCAGCAGACAACAACTACCGGTAGTCAAAAGGTAGTACCTGTCCAGTAGGAAACAGCTACCGGTAGCTTATAAGTAGAACTTCTATCGGTAGCTCTTCCAAAAATCTGAAATTTTAAAATTTCTTTGTCAACCTTTTGAGTTTTGATTTTCTTTAGTTCCAATTATACAAATGGACATTAAATGAGGTGTATTGAGGTATATTGGACCTCCGTTGAATTAAATGATTAAAGGAACACGAGTTACACGTGGGGGTTAAAATCCCGATAAATTGGGGAATTATTGACGTGGTGTCGAGTCGTGCGACAATCACGAGTATTTTGCGAGTTGACAAGTAGTCAACGGGACCCCCGATTTTAGGGGCATCACAAAAAGAGTAAGCAGGATCATCCAAGAGCTTCATCCACACCGCCTTGAAAGAAGTCAACCACCACGTCATCCTTTGACCTAATATTAAGGGGAGCTCCGTAACTACCTCATCCGTTGAAAAGATAACGCTAGCTCCACCAGATTCGCTACTTAGTTATTGAAAAAATGTCTCAATCTGTTGAAAGTCACTATAAATTGTAAGCTCAACCAACATTTGGAAGGCATCGAGCACTCTACTATCACTCTTATCTCTCTCTCATTACTTGTGTCTCCCTGCTCTCCCTACACTCCTCGAAATAATAAAATACGCAGGTCACTCTAACCCTTCATAGTGGATGTAAGTCACGTCGACTAAACCACTCTACATCTTTGTCTCGCTTGAGTTACTTTCTCTCTTTATTTAATTACTCTTTACTGATCACTTAAGTGATGGTGCATAGAATTATTTTGTACATCATCAAAACTAATTGCAGAAAAAAAAGATACGAAAGGAAAGGAAACATATTATGGGAAGATGTCTTCTTGCATAATTTGTGCTCTAAAGAAGTAATTTGCTAAATAATTGAGAAAAGAAAAATCACGCTGATTCTGTAACATAGTAATTACTTGATCACTAGTGTTCCTGTTCAGCTTCACCGGTCCAGTAACTCTTGACGGCAACAAGAATCTTCTCCGGATTAAATGGTCCACTTTCATGGTCCATAATGTTGCTCTCCCATCTCATTCCATCTGCAATACTTTTGATCTTCACGAGGACTTCCACCACATCTCTGAATATTACGGTCCCTTCTGGCCGTAGGATTCTATCCATCTCCAGGAGGATGTAGGTAATGTCGCACCTTTAGGGCAATTTAATCTGAGTCAGTCATCCCCAAGCTTAAATATCAATGCCATCAAACACAACCGATGCTTAAGAATTTTACCTGTCCTGATATATACTGAAAACACCACCTGCATGGATGAGATCATATGTTCTTGGATACGTTGAGAATGCCTCGCACCAATCATGGTATACACCAATGAAACCCCGTTCATATATCACACCCAGAGTATCTGGTTCTGACTTGCCAGGGACCACGTTCATTACCCACACTGGATATTTCATCAAGGCTGCTGCGAATCCACCCAAGTAAGCATTCATGTCCATTACATTCCGGTATCGGCCTTGTGGTAAGGACCTAATAATGCGTTTGTAATGTGTCACCCGGTGCTTCCAGATTTCATTATCCTCTCGGAATTTCTCTACAGTGATGCCTGGTATTGAACTGCTGCTTATCCTAGGAGGAATGGAATATGCACGCTCTGGCCATTTCTCTAATGCACCACCTGCGACTTCGTCTGAATTTCTTACCTCTGGAAGGGGGGTGATGCAAGTTTCCATGCGCGTGTACCTGGTTTTAGTGAAAATGGAGCAGAGTTACAATAGCAGTAGAATAATGCAATAAAGTCATATTAGTTCATCATCATATGAAGCACAAACAAACTACCAAGCTGCATCCGCATTGTCCGATTTGCACATATGTGACGTATGATGAGTTGCACTGGTCTTGATGCACTCAATATGATTGGTAGGCTTCTGCCACACTGCAAGGTCACCCCTTTCAATGACTTTCTTCCAGCACAGGCGC